CCCCCCCGCATCACGGAGAGGAGTGGAGTATAGAGAAGTAAAGATCTTCTTGTGGATAACAGACTACATGGAGGACACCCGTGAGGAGTACTCTGAGAATGTATAGCATCAGATAAACAATTTACTTAACACATGACACTTGATACACTTTACGCTTTAACTCCTGAACTTTACCTCCGCTCTCATATTACTATCATATTAACCATTGCCACACCACTTAGTTACTATTATAAAAGCAACATCTCAACGACAACATTCAGTACCATGTAGGATTTCGTAGAAGACGCATGTACTACGGGTGTTCACAATAGTTATTCGTGCCAGTGTCTCGAACCACCTTGTTTTATTTATCATAATAGTATTGAGTGTGTCACTCGAACTTTGTGCAGAAAATTACAAAATATTAAAAATTGTCCTAAACAATTACAACAACTTCAAGACTTAATAATACGTCAATAGAAAACAACCTAGAAGACATCGACGACGGCTACGGTATTGTGCAACCACCATCAATCAACAAAGAAAACAACGAAGATGACAATTATCTACAACAAGTATGTCATGGTGCATCTGCAAATTCAGCGCAATTACCTGACAATCCCATGGTATTGGTCACTAACGAACCACCCGACAAAACTGACAAACCCAAAGAATGTCCAATTCAGTGTACACCCAAGATGGTATGTAATAACATACAAACACCGAACACTCCGGTTAAATCAAGACATCCTAGATACCATGGTAGCAGCAATCTCGTCCTTGATATACAACAAATACCCGGATCCCCTAGCTCCTATGGAGAGGGTAATACAACTATTGAAACCAAAAGACGATGACTTTCAAATTCACTTATCTGTAACGAACATCTCGTCACGCCCACTTTGTCAGCTGCTAGCCACGTGTCTCCAGGAACTAAGGCCACAGATGCAACCGACACACCTCATAATTCAAATGGGAAACGATGAATCACCAATATATCAATACTAGATACAGGATCCGACAAAAATATCAGAAATGATAATCAACCGAGCAACAGACAACCAGATATATCACCCAGTAATTCTCCAGGGAAACCAAGCACCATGGAAATGGCAGACAAAATTGTTGATATCGATAAAGATTCCTTCTCAACGCCAACAACCCCAGACTGCTTCACCTTCTTTCCACACAACCGAAATAGAGCAATCGACAGAATCCTTTCTGTCCTTTCTTGTAACACTCAAGAAGCTCTCGAAGGCAAGACGACACTTCAACTCGTTAGGAACATCAGACGTTTCATCCTCTATCTTATCCACTTCGGTATCCGAAGATGGACCAACAGTTACCCTCAATTACAAAAACTTTTAGACAAAATATTACTTCATAAAAAAGACGAAACAGACAATACTAAAGACCTACCAACATGTGAAAATTACTGGGAAGAAAAAAATCTAAAGAAACCAAAAATATTACAAAAAATTAATAGACAAAGTCTAATTCAAAATGTCATTGAAATTCCATTTCGAATCGTACTCGGAATTTTTAAAAAAAGGACCGAAATCTGATATATTACAATTTATCACTGATCATGGTCTACTTATAAAAGCAATCATTATATCAATTTGCCAAATCGACAATGCACAGATAAAAGAAAGTCTAAGAACAACAAACTACTTAGATATTTTATATGATAATATAGAATCCACAAATGTAAATATAAACAACAACAAATACTTATTTAAAAAAAAATGAAATTAACATAGATGAATTCTATGCTCATTTTATACTCATACAAAATCTATACCTCCAGAAAAAACCTCCTTTGTAATAAAAGGACCCACCAATACAGGCAAATCTATGATCGCTACCTTACTAACAACGCCTTTACAACCCACTTTAATAGACAGGACAAAGGACCGAAGTGCATTTCATCTGGATGACTTACCAACTTCTTCGTGAATACTAATTGAAGAACCTACCATTGCACCCGATAATATCGGGCAATGGAAATTGCTTTTAGAAGGCAAAAACCTGCGAGTGGACCAAAAACATGCAACCAAAGAGACAACACCAAGAATAATGATAGTCATTACAACTAACAATCCAATAGATTATTGGTTGCCAGAAGAAGAAAGTGATCATCTATTCGAAAGAATAATTCAATACGAAATGACTAAAAAAATTTTTCACTACAACAGAAAACACAAATCTGTTGCAAACCTTTTAAAACCACCTCCAAATCATATCACAACAAACTATATATATTGGCACATATTGTACCATTTACCGTTCATTCTCACTGAAATAACAAAAATTAACAATATAGAGGAACCTTCTCCTCACTATATTCTATCACAAGAAGATACTATTAGAAAATTAAATATATTTCGTAAAGAAAATGAAACATTAATTCAATCATTATTTGTTTCAGAAACAGCATTCACAAGTAAGCAACCATGAACATTAGAGAACCAGCACCTAACAAAAAACTAAGGCAACACCGCATACTTATTACAGTAAGGATACAGAAAAAACAGATAAACGATGGTTATGGTAGTAATATGCATCCGTCAGAAGTATTAAAATCCATTCCAACGTTCGCTTCTATATGTCATGGGAGAGTAGAAAAACATTTCTAATGCAACCACAAGAATGAAGTAATCCATTATATATACCATATACATTCTTAGATTTTTGGTTCAATGACGATAACAAACATGCATTTCAAGGAAGCGGTTATATATTTGCAAAACATATCAAAATTGCACATTATCTAAAATTGTACAACATCAAAATGCAAATTCGTAACATTGCAACAACTAGAGAATGCCTAATAGCAGCAGGACAAGATTATGCAACTACAGTACATTTTGAAGAGTCTCAAAATATTTTAATAACAACCTTAAGAGCAGATGATACAGTATCATATAATGACTCGCAGTTAATATGGAATCTATGCAATACAGAAAATCAACACCACGACCAAGCTTTTAATATACTAGATTATCCAGAAAACAACCAACATCATACAGAAGAACTCGCAATGCAACATTCAAAAGATGCACTTTCCTCAATGCACTTCCCTCAATTCGATACACTGAACGGCTTTTATTATCAAGCTATCAAAATACAATATGGTGTGAATTCAAAAACGCCAATTAATCACATCATACTCAGTAGAGCACAAAATACAAATGCGCATCCCACGGATACTTGTCTTCAAAGTTTCGTTTACCCTCATAGTAGAGCAGAGTACAGAATGGGAAATGAAAGCACAACTCATTATCTAGCAGTATACACACAAAAGGTACAATTTCCAGCAGTAACTTGCCCATCCATCTGGTTGCATCAACCAAAAATAAAAAACAAAACTGGCTACATGAAATTTCATTAGATTTTACGCTCGAATTTGAATATGAAACATTCAATAAATCACACGTCGTTGCATTTGGTGAAAAAACCAAATTGTGAATCTCCCAATGCTTACAAAAGCAAAATACAACAACTATTATATACCTCGTATCACACATTAAAACAAAAAAAAAAGTGGTTTATAGGCCTGCTGGGGATCTCCACTATAAAAAAGAAACGTGCCAAAGAGACTACGTCTTGCATGGTGTGGAAATGTCTCTATACATCCTCAAACCTACTCCTCAAACAAACTTCCATGTTAGTCTGGCTCCGCAAAAACATATGCCGCTGGTTGAGGGGGGCCAAACCTCAAATATCAAATGGAAATCAGAAGTATAACTGAAGAGGAAAATGACAAAACATAATTAATAATCCATAAACCATCACTTTGGAAGATGAGTGAGAACAAATCGCGCATTTATTGCAGGCACCTCGTGCTTTGCACGAGGGAACACATTGTGTTCCATGCCCGCCTTTCAGGAGAAAAGATTGAAAAACAATGCACAAAATGAAGGTTGGCCCACACTCATTTTAACTATATCATATCCTCTTCAGGTTTTTAACCACCTAATAAGGCATGTACATAGGGAGTGGTAGAGACAAAGTTATGTATTGCTGAGGAAAATTGATTTCGTGATTTCAACAGAAATATCTGGTTTGGGTTCACAATTCCTCAAAAGTGTTGTTTCCAAACATCCATATGTCTGCTCATCAGTCAACAACACTAGTGCCTAAAATATTTGGAGGATTTTCCCTAAAGTGAATATTCTCTGATTGATCTGGCACAGCAATTTCGTAATAGATTCTTTAGGATGGAGGTATTTTATGTAACCCCTAGAACATTTTCAATTTTTTTAAAAAAATTGCTCTCAAATTTTTCTTGAAGTTTCTTGTTAAGAATGAAAAAATGAAGGTAACAGGTCTGATTCACTCTTAAATCTGAATTTTCAAAAATTGCAAAAGTTTCACATTTTTGGACACCCCCCACTGCTACTCTATTGAAGATA